GACCCCGGCGCATACACAACTATAATGCAGAGGTCACGAGAGGGGCGATAGGAGTTCCCAGATGCTTGCCGCTTTAAGAAATCGAATTGTCCTGAAACAAGTGCTCTAACTGAGTAACGCTATCAAGAACTTGTGTAATCTCCAACTGCAAATACGACTTGGATTAGACACCAGATTTTGCTTTTGGCTTAGCTTCTCGCATGTTTGAGTTACGGCTGCCTGACGGTGCCGCGAGTTCTTGCACCACGGATGCTTAGGCTCTGAGCTGAGGCTCGGCATGCTGAGTAGCAACATTTACTGAGGAAGAAGTGGCACGACTATGCTTCCTGATAAATAATAAATAAATGTTTATTCTCGGCTATGTGAGACATGCCCACGAGTGCATGATCAAATAAGTGCAATTATACAGATATGTCATGCCAATTGTAACAGTGACGAGCGGAGATTGTTCATACGTTCCTATTTGAAACTGCTCAAGTAGGACAGAAATAAAATTGAAGAAAGCCCATTGAGTTTATTAATGTGCGTCATCAACCAGCTCTTTTGAAAATTATATGGCGGTTAGATATATATGTACACACACCGTGACAGTATGCGGATTCAGTTGTCAGCGGATGTGCCTGCCCCACGACAAGGTGGTGGAAGGATATCGAGATGCAGTGCTTAGCGTTCCCCACTGATCTATTGACTTAGGATGGGTGGTGCTATTGCAACTACAGTGGCAGTGGCACCAGATTAGTCTATGGGTAGAGGGCCCACAAACTCCGCCTCCTGGTTCTTTAGTTTGAAAGTTGGAATGAGGGTTGCAGCTTATTCCTTGTAACCGACGCGTTGTAGTGCAACGCGTATCTGGCTGCCTTGCGGTCAACGTTTTGGAGCAGCGGCCCTGATGAAGGAGACTAATACTTCTGCTGTCTAGGCTTGGGCAACCTAACGGTATCCCGCACACGCAATACAAAATCTCTTCTTCCAACAAATTCCCGATGCTTTGTCCACCGCGGAGGATAATCAACATTGCCCTTTTGCCGCATGGAGCAAAATTTGATAGACATTTTAATGCCACTGCATTGGCACTTGCGTCTTCCTATCATCATCAGCAGCGGCATCAGCATCATCATCATCATCGTCAACAGCAGTTCATCAGCCAATTGAACTGGTGCCTCGCTGCAATACAACTATGAGGACAACCATAAGAACATATAAAATAAATAAAATAAGTAGTGGGACGGAAGGGCGACTTACCTGAAAAGCTTATCGCCCTAAGCAAACATTCAGGGTCAAGACGCTTACACCTCTTATAGACCAAATACCATCACAAACAGCCGGCTATCGTACAAAGATAAAGCAGCATCCGCGAGACAGCTTCCTTGAGGCTTCCGCTGCCACGCGTTATAATCAGCCAGTACCCCACAGATAACTTAGCACAAAACACACATTAAACAGGCGATCGGTTTAAGAGATAGCAGCAGACGCGCCACTGGTGGCGGTTGCGCGCCATGTCTTTTAAACGCTCGACCCAAGCACAAGGCGTCACTGGAATCCAGCCCGGAAGGCGCGACGGACCAACGGCACCCAGTTTGGTCGTCAGTGACTTCATTTCTTGCTGCCAAGTCAACTTCTCTCCACCCCGAGCCTTGAGACACCCTATACTTTGTAGACCGAACATGGCCCTCGTAGGTAAGCAGTGACCAGATATACATCGCAAGTGCACGGGCCAACACAACTTGTTTATGGTTATCTTTTGTTTTAGGCAGCTAGCATTATAATGACTACTTCATACTAGCTTCTATTGTACATATCGCAAACGGCGGACTCCTTCCAAACTGATAGAACTTTGCATGTGTTAACGGACTTCCGAAATACTGTCGTCAGCTTTTGACCGACAACAGGGAGCTGTATTCTGCAGCACCTGAAAGTTCAGCGCTATATTTGGCTGGCTGGCCAAACAACCTACACGTAATGCCAGCTGGTGTGTTCGATTAAAACCCGTTCCATTAAACTGTTTGGCGGCAGTGTGGCAGGAGGTTGTGGGATTTTGCCTGGCATGCGTTTACCCTATAAAAATCAACAGATATCCATTTAACAACACTGTGACGTGGCTGATGTGACACGCCACTAAATAAACTCACTGCTTCTTCCCTTTTCCGGAGGCGCATTCACACATCCTGCACGTCACCGGCTTCGAAGCGTTCCACTGCTGTTCCCCTTTGATGGCGATCCCAATGAACCATAGCACACCCAGAGTCACATTTACCTACTCACACAACATGGTTGCTACCAAATATACACACTAAAACATACGTTTACATGTCAACACACATACACAACTTCCCATGCTATTGACCAAAATGTAATATTTGCTGCAAGTACCGATCACACATGCTTGTATTACCGCGAGCATGCCCTTGTTAGTGTGCCTCGCAAAGGAGAGAATAAAATGTTTAGTTGTTTATTTATTTATATGGCTTAGGAATGCTCAGGTGACCTGGTGTCATATTATGCCTGATTGATAAACAACCATGATCAATGTCACCTAAGGGAAAGCTGTAAATGAGGATAAGTGCGAGGTATAGTTACGGGAAAATGAGCTCTAAAATTACATTATACTTAGCCATCCATCAACGTATGCCCGAGGCACGCAAAGGGATGCAACGACGCTGGTATATCGGGAGGAGAGCCGCGTATCATCATACGTATCTCACGCTTGTTTTTATTTAGGCTGCGCAAATTGTTTCGCACCACCATAGGGTACTCGTAATAAATAAATAAATAAATGGTATATTCTCTGTAAAACGAGACACACCTCTTAAGGCATGGTCAAAAATGCATACAATCATAGCTTCTTTTGACTATTAAAACTTTTCTTTTTAATGAAAGGAGTAAACGAAGAGATGTAGTCTATTTGAGCGTGCACATTGCCAGGTAATAGTCAGATCAAGGACAATGATGGCGCTGTGGCACGCAAAAAATTGTTGCGTCAAGATACAAGTGGGGATAAATTTGCCATGTAGTGATCCATGAGCACAGGAGCCCAAACAAGTTTTAGTGCACTCAATGACCATTACGTACCCGGGATGATCTGTACTCCATTAAAGCCTTCTTCATAGTAAAATCAGTTGCACAGGTTGAATGCAGAAGACTGAGAACTGCGTCAGTGTGAAATGTATACCTGTGACTTTATTTTGTGTAGAGTCACATCCGCCACGTTGCAGTGTTGTTATGCGGACATTTGTGGCCTTTTATAGAGAGAACGCTTGCCAGGCAAAAACCCACCACGTCCTGGAACACTGTCGTAGCTTCCGTTGAACTCTAGTGCTAGTCGGCTATGCCTCGTATAGACCGATTTTGCACTCTAATATTCGCAGTCGGTTAAAAGCCAAACTTCTTCCTTCGTTGGCCGAATGGCTTAGTAATACTCCGGCAGTAGTCGTTGAAGCCGGTCAATGATGTAAAAGAGTCGCAGAGTCGAATGATAATGATGCAGGTGAGTAAACACATTGCTAATAGAGGCCGGCGTTTTTTATTATATTGTCCGGCTCGCAACCCGTGTCCAGCTATCCAAGCTGGACTTGTCATAGGGATGGTGAGTGCAGTTGTTTCTTGTGTCTGAATATGTCCATAACAGAAAAAATGTTATTCTTTGCAAAGTGGACTCGGAATTCCTTCAAATGTAAGTGTAATTGTCTACATGGCCAAGTGAAAACTCCACGAAAGATCTTCGGCAAAGCCACATATAAGCGCAATGCTGTCCGTGAAATGACATCACAAAAGCTCCAGGTGACTGGAGAATCGGAATGTTTGAGGCAGTGAAGGTAATCATGCCAGAATTGTCTGTCTTCAGTTGTGGAACAGTGGATCCATGTAAATATATTATTCCAGGTGAGTAAATTGTTCTACTGTGAGTACGAGGCGAGCTAAACCCATTTGTTTAGACCCCGTGGTGATAGCTTCTCCAGAATGGCGGAAAGAGGTCCATTTGGAACAATATGTGGGTTCTTCATCTCCCGGAGAAAAGATCAGGCATTTAAACCATTTGGCTATTGAGAGTGGGTCGATCAGTCCCAGCGGATAAACCTTCTTGATTTGGCGGATTTAACTGGAAGTCTCGGGAGAAAACGGGCAACGGACAAGAGACATCCAAACAGCAATGAATCAAGAAGCACAAACACAGACTGGGGGCGCGAAACGGTGCCTAGGATACTTTAAAACGTATGTAATTTTGTTTAGTATACATGATTTGCAAGCGCGTTCTTTACATCACGTCGCTGGTGTGACTCAGACTACAACTACTAGGTAGAAAGAAGGATCTGCACGCGCAGGGTCAGGCGACGAATATAACAAAGCGTGTTGACAAAGTTAAGCGATTAATACGATGGTTGGAGAGAACCAGGTAAACAGATGATGATGACAGCAGTCCGAATGCGAGCGGCATCTTAGGTGAAACTAAGGACAACTAAGTTGAGACCGAATGCAACAGCAACATAGGTAAAGCAACGTTCCAAGAAGAAAAGGGAATTTAAAAATCAGCTATGAGCGGATGAATGCGGACGGCAGGGCGAAAGGTAACTCGTGAGAGTAATTAGGAGACGGTAGTCAGGATGGAAAAGGTTTACTACCAAAGTGTGGTGAAGCCAAGGAGGCTCTCGTGCGAAGTAAGAATCGTTCAGTTCTGAAAAATCACCGGTAATATCCCGGTGGTCTGAGAGGACTCTGAGAGCCGGAGACCGAACAGACGAGACTTGAATAGTCGACACATCCGGAGGCCTCGTAGTAGTCCCAGAGAATTTCACTGATCAGATGTTGACAAAGAAGGGCATGGCACTAAGCTTCGGTCGTCCGATTGAAGGTTTGAGGGTACAGGTTACTGATGGAAGTGCATATATTAATAAAGGGTAAACAAGTCTACCCGGCTGTCAGTGTAAGCTAGATATAGTTTTAAGTCTACTGAGATTAGATCGGTATATCTTGCTAGTATGGAAAAGGTCAAAGGAGCATACCGGTCAGATGAGACTAGTTATTACAGGGCACTGAGAGTTGGCAGTCCGATCAAAGAAGAAATGAAAGTAGAGAGCGCCATAAGGAGAGGAGACGTTCCGGATAGAGAGAGGTTTACTTATAAGGTGTGGAAAAGTCCATGGGGCTCGAGAGGTAATGGGAACAGAGCGTTCGGTCTCCTCATCAAATGCCGGTAACGTCACAGCAGTCTGAGTGAATTCGGAGAGCAGGGGACCGATTAGACGAGACTGGATTAGTCGGCACATTGAGAGTAAGTCGAACAGTTAAGGTGAAAAGATAACTAAAGAGTCAGCGGAGACGGATAGGTTTGGGATGCAAGAGGCTACATGAATATAAGGTATGCAAGTTAGGCAGGCTCGCAATGTGAGAGAAGTTGTGTGTTTGTGATACAGAGCCTAAAACTACAGTTCGCTAGTTAGGAAGCGGTCAAAGAGGGTAATAGGGCCGGGCTCTGAGAGCTCGCCATCCGGATGAAGAAGAAATGTGCAGCACTTAAGACCGCGCCATCCTCAGTGGCACACATAGGGCGGAGAAACACCATCGGCTGTCAGCCGGAGAATCCTCCAACCGGAAAGTTTGTTCACCGGCCATTCGCCTGGTTTCAGGCTGCTTCGTGGCCTCTTTCCGCTTAACCCTTTCGACTAATGGGATGTGCGTGAACGGTAACATTGGTAACCGTCCCTTTTAAGGCACGTCCAAGTTCAAGTTCCCTTGGTACCGTAGGGATAGGATAATCCAATGATTGCTCCTTCTTCCGCGGATCCTCAGGTCTGAAATAAATAGGTCGGCTTGAGAGGTTGAGGGGTCTTGAACAGAGACGGCATCACATACTGTCCAACTAATTACTACCCACATTTTCCTGCACAGCCGTCACTGCTCGATCGGTTTATGTGAAAAAACATAGTGAAAAGTAAGCTAGGGATAGAAGAGAAGGAATGTCAGGTAGATGATAGCAACAAGAAGGTTTAAAAAGCAATTTTAACAAAAAGGGTGAGTTGAAGTTACAAGTGGGTTAGGGTAAGGGAATGTTTGGTCCGGCGGACCAACGTCATCTAACTGACCCTGGAATCCATCAACTGGACACATACAGATGTCAAGCGAAATGGTAACGTTCACGTCCGAGGGCTAAGTACCTAAGCGGATCTTTTATGCACCAGCTTCTACTGAATGGAATCAGACCAGAAGCCTTGGAAGGCTTGAGCCCACGTAATAACCCGAAAACCAGTGTCTCCGTTCTGCTGCTTTCCGTTACCCCAGAATCCTGCGAGACCTCAGCGATCAGTTAAAGTTTTGATAGCGGCAGCACGAGTAAGCACAACGGTATACCGGTCCGTAGGTAAGCATGCCACTTCATACTCCGTATGCCTATTGGTGCTGTCCGCTAGTAGTAAATCCGGTATAGACGCGTTTGTACCGCTGCCTCTGTTTACGTACAGAAAGAAGTTCGGATTTGCTGCGCCAATGTTACGCAAATACTCGTAGTGCTGAAGCCGACTACTTCTAAAATGTTGCTTACATTTATTCCTACTCGCTCGATACCTTGCGTAGGTGCTGATTAATGAAACTGCTTTGTACGTTCGCCAGCAATAACGGCGCTTCCTGAGCAGCTTTTTACCTAAAGACGCGTTCATCGACGACGACGACGGCATAGAATACAAGCGCACATGATGTCTCTAGTCGAAAGCATTTCATACTGATCAGGGCTGAAATCCATACAGGACAGTTGGTAGCAGCAGTTGTATACATATTACTGCATTTCACCGGACTCGTCCTTCACGGGCTTTGAGCACCTCAGGCTGCCGCACACAGCATTAAATTCGCTGGTGAATGCAGCTGAAGACACATTGCCACCGTTACTCAGGGAACCCGACAAGACGCATATAAAGAAAAAATAAAAGTACCAAACGGTAAATGCGAAAACCTGTCACCTGCTGCGTAGTCAACGGAAATAGTGACGGCTTCAAACAGGGTGCAGAACGGGGCGTTAGCAGGTAGTTTACCTTTTGTACTCGGTACCCCGACAGTGACTACGGAAAGCCAAGCCAGAGAAAGCGTGCTTACACACAAGTCAAACTGCCGTACCTTATGCTACGTGCGTTCGGCAAGAACTGCCGCACGTATGACGAAGTGAATTGCCTACCTTCATACAATGAACGCACAGAACGGCTAATGTATATTAATAAATAAATATTTCTTCTCGGCAAATGGAGGCACGCCTTTTGGGCATGATCAGCATAGTGCAATATTGTACGTGATGACATGGCCAGCAGCACCAAGAGCGGGAGTTATACACACGGAGTCATTAGTGTGGGCCCATATGGCCCAAAGGTTGTACGAAGTCTGTGTCCACAGAATGCAAGATGTAGGGATGAGAATCAGCTCACGAAGGTGGAGTATGTTGATGAGGAACTAGTCCGACGAGGTTGTGTACACAGTGCGGGTCAGGTGCTTGAAGCATGAGGAACAAGCTGCAGAAATATTTAAGAGTAGTGGCATGTAACTGGGCAAATATGCAGCGCGTTCTTACGAGAGCAGGTATATGCAGGATTTATAAATGTTGTATCGGTCAACTTGCCCACGTGTGATTGGGGCGGTGACTTTATTGAGTGGTGTGTCACCTCCGTCACGTCGCAGTGTTGTTAACCAGACATTTGTGCCCTTTTGTAGGGAAAACGCCTGCCAGACGAAGACCCACCACTTCCTGTAACCCTGCCGACTGGTGACGTGACAATGACAAGATCGCACCTGACCGATTACCCACGCGGATATTTGCAATCGAGTTTCGCCAATTTGGTTTGCTTGTTTGTGTAGTCTCCTTCGGTGTCGACCGCAAGTAGATGAAGCTGTTGAATTCGGATGACCCAGGTGACTAGTATTGACAAGATTATTTTTCTGGGCTCCTTTATTTTGTTAGGATTGCGAAGTGCGGGTGGTTTCATTGTACTGTGTTGATGCTGTATCCAGGTGAGCGTCGCCGGTTATCCTCAGGTGTTTCGTGCAAGTAATGTTATCCTTTAGGACAGGAAGAAAAGGAAAACGGACCGGTCAAACTGCCAAGAAAACTGAACAAGACTATTTTAATGTATAAATATAAAATATATGGTAACGTTGTGCTGGTTAAAAGCAATGAAGTGACCGGGTAGGCTATATATCATATCCGTAGTTTTGCGTGCAAGCACGAGACCCGATATTTGCTGAATATTGGAGACAGATGCTGTCAGAATTGACCTAGCGTATGCAAAAGTTGTCCTGTGTGAAAACCGGGAGTATCAGGCGTTGTTAACCGGTAAATGAGTTAAGGGAATTAGAGGAACATAGTAAGGGGTTTATTATGTGCTTAAGCTATAGGTTGCGCGATCGATATACAGTGGTAGAGCTTATCGTGCGAACATGTATGTGAGCCAGTGGAGTTGACACCCATGAAAATAATGACGTATACCTAGCATGTTCAGTAATCGGATGTTAGAGAAAACAGCCGGGTGAAGGAGTGAGACGGAGCGCCTAAGTTGTGACGATAATGGGATTTATCTACTACATCTGTAGCGTGAATAAGGTTGCAAAGCGAGCTCTGAGGGACCTGGGATAGCGGAAAAAGACAGGGACTTTGACAGTGCGGAAAACAAGTCAAATAGACGGCACGAAACGGCGATACCGGGCGTCGGGTTAATTATGAGGAAGAAGCTTCCCGCCGATAGGCATTTAGCGTTAAAAACAGGTTCGAGAAGGGCTTCAGGACTACGGCTGTAGTGAGAAAATGGTTGTACAGCCAGCGCTGTAAGGGACCAGTAATATCAGTAGTGTGAGCAGCAGCCCCAAAACATGCTAGGTCTGCCACTCTTAGGTGGACATCTACGGTGGACGCTAGAGTCTAATAGGCTGCTGGTTAGTTAGTTGCTGGCAGCCTGATTACGTAATATACAGAAGCGGCACACTTTGTTAGGCTCCGCATAGACTGGTAGGTGTACAGTGTTGGATACAAGAGAGAGAACAGACAGCAATACTTGCAACAGTTTTAGAGAGAAATGGGGTAATGCAGGCTCCAGAAATGACCAAGGTTAAGGGCATATTACAGACAGCACCGCCAGTGTTTCACCATAGAACTGGGATGTTACGCTAAAGTTAGGGTTCACTAGACCACTATTTGAGTTGCGATATGGACCAGAATAGGTGCCTAACAAATGTACAGCAGAGTATAGTTAAACATAAGAGCGGACGAGAACCGAAAAAGTGAAAGTGCTCAGAAGAATGCACTTGTCTAATGGACAGGGATGTGAAGATTACAGAGTACGGTTTAGTCACAAAGTAGTAGAATGTAGCCAATGGAGCGATGGGAACCTAAAATGATTAGGATTTGCGCTGGCGAAAGGTACCTGGACCACTACTGAAGAGTTGCGATATGTACCAAACGAGAAGCCAAATGAGAGAGGGAGACGCTAATGTGAGCTAGAAAGCTTTGTAATGGAGCCGCGAGGCAAAGCTCAATCAGAGACCGGAAATAGCAATTTTGGTAAGGAGGACCACGCATACAGATAATTAAACAGACAGAGACAATTATCTTGTGGCCGTTGCTTTTATAAATGAGCAACATGGCCAATGGCACCCAATGCTCAAAAGAAGAGAGGCATTGGTTTGAGACCTATGGACATTTGGAGCATTACTTCGGCGGGAGTAATCCGGTTCAACATTTATAGTCTAACACCTGTACCTTAGTACCAAAGCCGCTCAAACCTTACGATAGGGAGCGCTAAGCATTCGTAGCACAACGGTGAAGCGTAGCACAAAGGCTTGCCGAATTTAGCAAAGGACAGCTATCCTAAAGAGAAACTCCTTCCTACAGTTATACCCTGCGCCCATCCATCAAGGAAAGTATACACCTACTGGCGAGAACCACAAGATATTTCCACATGGTAGCAAAAGATGGGCTCCTAGTCGCTATACAGGTTATTGATATGCAAATGGTTCTCCACTCTATGTAGTATATATGTACCAAGGAAATGGACTACCATGCCAGTCAACCTGGACAGGCAGGTGATTAGCCGGCAGATGCGTATCACGAAGAACAGCGCTTCGTAACCTGACAGTGGGCGTCGCTTTTCCCCCGGGTACTACCCTAACAGGATTAGTATGTTGGTTGGGCGGTATAATGTAAGCTGGCTCAGCATCCGAGAAAGCAAGCGAACATTTACATTGCTCACTGGCTCCGTAGGTGGTGTGGATGTCATTGATAGACGTTCGGCCGCACGTT